CCATTGTGGTTATGCATCCCCATGATGGTGATGCGTCCCCATGATGGTGATGCATGATGGTGATCCATTCCCATTGTGGTGATGTGTCTCCATGGTGGTGATGCGTCCCCATGATGGTGATGTGTCCCCATGATATTGATACATCCCCATTGTGGTGATGTGTCTCCATGATGGTGATGCATTCCCATGATGGTGATGCGTCCCCATGAAGGTGATACATCCTCATGATTGTGATGCATCCTCATGATGGTGATGCGTCCCAATGATGGTGATGCATCCTCATGATGGTGATGTCTCCCCATGATGGTGATGCATCCCCATGATGGTGATGCATGATGGTGATGTGTCCCCATGATGGTGACATTAAACTTTGTTAGTTCATTTTAATCCTAAACCTTTCTGGTTTCCTCCATCATGCTGTTGGTTTGTTCCTTGATGTTTCCCTCTTTTTGATCCTGTCTGTGTTTTAATTTTGCAACATTAAGCTGATCATCAGAAAGCAGTCAATCCAGGAAGAAGCTGGTTTTGTGGGTTTACCAGAAGGACAGTTCCCGCAGTAGAAAGAGCCCTGAGTGTTGAAGCAGGGAACAAGGGGGTTGGTGGAGCATGGCTTGTTTGCTAGGTTACACTCATCCACATCAGCCACACATGCTGGGTTCCCAGCTGGAGCCTCCCATCCACTCTCACAGATGCACTGGAATCTGGGCTGTTAATTGAAAGAAACAGTCAGACTGAGACTCTCCATAGTAGCACAGAGCACTAACTGACCGCCTGGTCCCAGGAGTTGAACTGCTTAGATCTCCGTACCTGTCCAGCTATCAGCCGGTCCGCATCGATGCACAAGCCGTGAACACACAGGTCCTGTCCTCCATTCCTGCAGTCATCATAACGCTCGGTGCAGAGGGTCCCAGACCATTCTGGGGAGCACTGGCACCTGCATTACATAACAACATCACACTATGAGGAGGCACAGATGGAAAGCATTCACTGAGTTTATAATTACACTGATGAGGAGAGCAGTGTGGGAGGGAGAAACAGCTTTATAAACAAATAACCTGTCTGCTCTAAACAAGAGAGATCAATAACTACCTTCCAGTTAGCATGATAGCTAGCTGTTAGCATCATTCCCACTGCTAATGCTAAAGCTAATGCTTCATTCACAGGTTTATAAACAAATAACCTGTCTGCTCTAAACAAGAGAGATCAACAACAACCTTCCAGTTAACATAATAGCTAGCTGTTAGCATCATTCCCACTGCTAATGCTAATGCTAATGCTTCATTTACAGGTTTATAAACAAACAACCTGTCTGCTCTAAACAAGACATATCAACAACGACCTTCCAGTTAGCATGCTAGCTTGGTGCTAGCATCTCACCTACTGCTAATGCTAAAGCTAATGCTTCATTTACAGGTTTATAAACAAATAACCTGTCTGCTCTAAACAAGACATATCGACAAAAACCTTCCAGTTAGCATGCTAGCTAGCTGCTAGCATCACTCCTACTGCTAATGCTAAAGCTAATGCTTCATTTACAGGTTTATAAACAAATAAAATGTCTGCTCTAAACAAGATGGATCAACAACGACCTTACAGTT